AGTAATGAGCATGATGCTCTTCTGAAGTTCGAATTAATCACAAAAAAGAAAATTGAACGACGTAAAACATCAATTGCCACTAGTATTGTAAAAACGCTTTTGAATATGGTAGAAGAGTGTAAATGCGAGGTAGCCAATTGTCTATGGTCAATGAATGCTTGTTATTTACTTAGAATTTATGAAACAGTTGTATAGTGCTTTAGATCTTCTTGAGAAGGGAGGGAATCAAAAGAAAAAGAAAAGAAAAAAAAGTAGGTCTAGTCTTTTGAAACGAGCTTGTAAGGCTTTGACCTAAATCATAGGAATCTCAATGGTACCTAAAAGAAAGCATAAAAAGTATTGAAAGGAGGCCTAATAAACTGGATCTAATTAAAATAAAATAAAATAAAGAAAAGAGAGCACTTGGAATGATTGATGATGAATCAATCTGAAAATTGACCTTTGATTCTAGAAGATGAAAGTGATTTGATATCGGTGAGCAGATCCCCAAGATGAAAGTGTACAAACTTTAATTGGAGAAATATACAGTTAAATCGAGTAGATCTAGGCTGCAGGAGGATATCTTGAGTTTTATGGTGAAAAAGGACTAGATCAATATTAGGAGAGGTCACGTATGATCAGATATATCATATATGACTTTCAACGGTTAGATCTAACTAGATCTCAGCTCAGGGACTGAGAAATTTGTAACTGGGTATGTGGCTAGGGAAACAGATCCCAGGGTTGAAACCTTGGGTTTTCAATCCCAAATCTAAGGCTAGGATGGAAGGGTATGGGGTGGAAGCTATTTTTTATAGAATTCTCTCCAGATTTTCACAATAATCCAATCCAAAAACCCCCAGATATATGACCTGTCCAAAAGTCCTCATAGCAAGGAATAACATATCCAAAGCTAGAATTATTTTCCCGTGGGGTTTAGGAGCTATTGCCTCCATGCAAAATCATTGATTTGCACTGCTTTCCAAAGTATTTTGGGGTTTTGAAGTATCATGAAGATGGATCCTACTAAAGTACATGCCATTGTAGACTGAACGACACCCAAAACAATGACTGAGGTGAGACGTTTCCATGGTTTAACGACATTTTACAGGAGGATTATTAAAAATTTCAGCAACATAATGGCCTCCATAATTGATTTTATGAAGTGAGATGAGGGGTGACAGAAAGAATGACGAGTACCTTGGTCTTTGCACTTCCAGACTTTGAAAAGGTTTTTCAAGTGGAGTGTGATGCCTTAAAGGAAGGAATTGGAGGTATGAGGGTTGACCCGTGGCCTTCTTTACCAAGAAATTGAGTGGGGCAAATATTAATTATTCTACTTACAATGTGCAGTTATATGCTGTAGTTCAAGCCTTGAGACATTCTAGGCACTACTTCATTCAAAGATAATTTATCTTATTGTAAGACAATGAAGCTTTGAAGTGTTTGAGTGCTCACAAGAAACTGAATTGTAGGAACAAGTGGGACTCTTACAAGAGTTCACTTTCATAATCCACCACAAATCAGGTAGCAAAAGCAAGGTGGTTGATACCCTCAGCTTAAGGTGTCATCTCCTTGTACAGCTGCCACCTCAATGGTAAGTTTTGACTCCCTGCCTGAGGCTTATATTACCGATCCATGCTTCTCTAAACTCCTTGAGCAACTTGCACAAGGAGAAAGGGAAACGTGTTATTTTTGTTCTGTAGAATGGTTTCCTCTTCAAAGGGCTTTGCATTCATGCGGGGTCGCTTTGCATTGAAATCATGGGTGAGATGCACGATGACAACCTCAGCGGTCACTTTGGGTGAGGTAAGACCACCACCCTAATGGAAGAGAAGTACTTTTGGCCAAAACTAAAGAGAGATGCCAACCACTTCGTGCAGCGCTGCCGATTGTGCCAATTGGAGAGGAGTAGATCTTAAAACACCGGCCTTTACACTCCCTTACCCATCTTTGACCGACCATGGATAGATGTGAGTATGGACTTCGTGATGGGGCTTCCCCGCACCTAGAGAGGCAGTGACTCTATTGTCGTGGAGGTAGATAGGCTCTAAAATGGCCCACTTCATTCCTTGCCAAAACACTTTAGATGCAACTCAAGCGGCTGATATTTCTTTAAGGAGGTGGTCCACCTTCATGGTGTGCCAAAGACCATCACTGCTGCTTGAGACATAAGATTTGTGAACCATTTTTTAGAAAACCTTGTTGAAAAACAATAGACAATAAACTGCAATATAGTAATGCCTATCACTCTCAAATTGATGACGAAACTAAGATCGTCAACCAAAGCCTGGGAGATTTATTGAGGAGCCTTGTCAAGGACAAGCCTTCTAAATGGGATCAAGTTTTACCTCAAGTAGAATTTTCTTATAACAGTTCTCTTAATCGATCCACTGGGAAGGTGGTCTATGGCCAGCCACCAAGCAAGGTGCTTGATCTATTCCCTATGCCGAAGGGGGGTGCGAGCTAGCGTTTATGCACAACCGTTAGCCGAGAACATTGAAGGACCCCATTAACAAATTATGGAAAGGCTACAAATGTCGTACGACAAGTACAATGCCGATGTCAACTTGTATAGCTACAAAAAGACCTTCGAAGTAGGAGACTTGGAAATGGTGTCCTTTGGCTGGGTGCTTTCCCAGAGACAATTACCATAAGCTTTACATACCCAAAACCAAAATTACCATAAGCTTAATCATAAGAAAATTGGCTCTTGTCGAGTACTTCAAAAGATGGGGCAAAATGCCTACAAGGTCGAGTTTCTTGAAGGATATAAAATCTCTCAAATTTTTAACATTTTCAATCTATATGAGTATTCTAGCGAGGTTGATGTGGAAGGTGATTCTAGGTGGGAAGCATATTGTCTATCTAGGGACAAGGTAGAGAGGATATTGGATAGCTGGATCATCTCTGACCGCCATAGATATTACATTTAGTATTTGATACAGTGGAAGGGCCAACCCAATGTAGAGAGTTTGTGGATTTCTAAAGAAGAATCGATGAAGATTGAGCCTTGTGATGAGATGCGGACATTCCCCATGCTGCAGTTCCCTCTGGTCTGTTCCCAGATTGGATTAGGAGAACATCCGAGTGATTGCCTTCACAGATCCAAACACGCTCTCACCAGTAACACAATAAGAATAGGACCGACGTAGTTGTTGTAGGGATCCAGAATTTCTAAACTCAATGTATTTAAGAGTCGTTTTGTTTATTGATCAAGGTTCAATGAGGAGCCCAAAGGTGCTTTTATAAAGATCAAAAAACCCTTGAGGAGTTCTTTGTGGATTTGAACTCGAGGACGAGTTCTCTTTAACCCGATGAGATTGATGAAGAAAATAAAATAAAGTCTTGTTGACATTTTGTGAGGTATTTTGGGTATCTTTTTTTGGAATGGACTTTTATAAATTTACAAAAAGGGTAGGAGATTCCATTTAAATTTTGAGCATGGGAAAAATTAGGAGGGAAAGGTTAGAAATTGAATCTTAAATTTTGTTTGGGAAGAAGTATTGAGCATGGGGATGGTGTCCATTAATACTCCTAAAAACTTTAAGTGTACATGGCTCAGGAAAAGGTTTATTGTATGGCTTGGAAAGGGGTAAGGTCCATTAATGTCCCTAAGAAAATTCAGAGAGCTTTGACTTAGAAGCCAAATCAAGTATATTAAAAGAGGGGGATTTTACCTTGTTGGAATCAATGTTTTTGCTATAAAATCTCATAAATGTGGAACTTAGTTCTCATTTTTTGATGTCTCTGAACCCTCATACAAGCTATTGAAGCTAGGCTTTGTTAGCTTTAACCTGTTATCTATGAATAAAAAAACGTTACATTTTCTGCTCATGATCAATAGCAATGAATGTATGCAAAAAAAAAAAAGTCATTTGTTGAAGGAACAGAAAAAAATACCTGTTGAAGAGCCAAACAAGGAAGGGAATATAAGGAACTTACCTTTCTCGCTCCTCATCCTCCTCGCTATTCTCTCTCCATTGAATCCCCAAGATATCTCAGATGAGCTTTTGCCAAAAATTACGAGAAAATCTCTCATTTGGAATGAATTTAGAGAGAGAAGAGAAGGGCGTAAGGGTTTACCCCTTTCTTTCACGGGAGTTATGGATCGGGTATATCTCATAGGTCAAAAGTTGGGTATTATAGTTTGGCGGAAACACCTTTATAAAGACTTTGGATAATTAAGCAACAAATTGGAAATAATTACTTGTTATAGACTTTATAAGGAAATATGACTATAGAACTTAAAAAAATAGTCCCTATTTTTTCTTAATTGGCACAAAAAGAAGAAGAAGAAGTCTTGTGCATATAGATCTTCCTTGTATCAAGTCAATGAAAAAAATAATAATAAAAAGATCCAGTAAGTTATATATGGGAGTAAGTGTAGCAAACTGACTCTGATACCAATGTTAGGACCCAATAATATATCAATAAATAAATATAATTGATAAACAACTTATTCGGACAACCTTAAGAGTCCTCATTGGTGAATCTCATTCACCATGCATCTCTATTTTTCATCCTTCTCTATCTTTTCTTTACTTAAGGGGTTAACCTCTTTTTACAGATAACCATTTGGTTGTAACTCTCACATTCATGGTCTATAGGAGTTGAGATCCAAGTATAACTCATACCTTAATTCCATAAAGAGCAGCTAATTAGGATTAACAAGTTGTCACCAAATTGTTAATCTTATGTAATGAGCTAAACTTGTCATTGGTGTAATGACTCACATAATAGGATGTCATCCAAGCATTCCTATAATTTGATAAAAGATATTTAAAAATTAAATAATTTTGTACATCTATAATATAAAAAAACAATTCTTACAAGGAATCCAAACATATCACTGGGTTTTCCCTCTAGTGACAGTAGGTTTTCCCTCAAATGCAACATCGTATAAAAGCTAGAAAATTGATCCTAGTATATAACAATGCCTCATGTCAACCACATGGGATTTCATATATACCATACAATATGGCTTTTGTACCATTATTGAAAAATAAATTCCCGGGAGAAAAGGGCTTGATAGGCCACATTTCCAACAAATTGAACTCCTTAGTTTCTACCTTTCTCTGTCTTTTATCTTTGTTCTACATCTCTAGCAAGAAAACATAACCAATAAAGATTGTTTGTCATGAACTCACACTTTTAAGAATTACACATAGTTGTCCATGTAACAAGTCAAACACCAAGTGCTCTATATGTGCCTGCTCACCAATAATGTATACTAGACTATCAACAAAGTGAACCACCACAAATTTACCAATACAATGTTTAAAGACTTGATTCATCACCCTCACAAAAGCATTAGGAGTATTAGAGAGGTCAAATGGCATCAACAACCACTCATAAAGACCCTCACATGTTTTAAATGTCATCTTCTACTTATCCCCTAGTCGAATACAAATTTTGTGGTACCCACTTTTCAAATCTATCTTCAAAAACACAGTAATACTGGCCAGCATAACTAACATATCATTAAGGCATGGAATTGGGAGGTGGAACTTGATCATGATCTAGTTAATAGGCCTGTGTCTACACACATGCGCTAAGTCCCATTTTAGGTGTCAATAAGGCCGGGATAGCACATGGACTCTTTCTCTCTAATAATCGCCATATGTAGAAGCTTTGTGACCAGTCTCTATAATTCTTTATGCTTCTTTGGGCTGATTCTATTTGTGGCCTTTTTTGGTAGGCTAGACCCAAAAATGAGGTCTATGTAATGTTGGATGCCCCATATGGATGGTAATCCCTCAGAAAGCTCATCCATATGATATCAAAATAACCCCTCATTAATAGCCCTAACTATTGTAGAACTGAACTAACATGCTGCTTCTCCACTGCATACAACATTCTGGACTCCACCAACCATTCTATAAACTTGATGGAGGGCAAAAGTCTTTTTATTTTTTATTTTTATTCAATTTCAATGATGTATATTGTAGTTTTAGTTTTAGGGTTTATTTCTAGGTTTTTAGGATTTCTAGGGTTTTTATTTTTTTATTTACTATTCACTCATTATTGTTCATGTGTTACTGTTCACGTGTTACTATTCATACGTTACTGTTCACATGTTATTGTTCACACATTACTATTCACGTTTTACTTATCACAGGGGTATTTTTAGAATTTTGATAATTTTTTAGGGGTATTTAGACTATTAAATATTTACTTCAGTCACAAGTTAAGGGTTTCATAGGCTTATAAATGTTGGATGTCATAGTTTAGAGGAGATGTTACTGAAATAAATTTTATTTTGTGAAAGAGAAAAGTTATTCTTCTCTTGGCTTGATATAATACAGCCATGTTCTTTCTCTCTTCTTGCTAATTTTACTGGTTTAAGGTTCAGGAGAACGGTGGATTCAATTTCCCACAATTTCTCCCTGCATCAAGTGGTATCAGAGCATGGTTCGAGGACGACTGGAGATTGTAATGCCTTATCGTAGAGGTCTTAACCATAGGGAAGCCCATCCGATCCGACTACACAAGGAAATCAACAAGTCCTACTGCTGCGCAAGCGGTGCCAGCAAAAGCATGCCCCAAACAAAGAGGAAACTACAAGGATAGATCCAAATTGTAAGGGTTTTTATGGAGAATGGCACAAATCAAAGTCCAACTCAGAGTTGGAGCGGAATGATGAAGTTGCCTTCAACCACCCGTCCTACGCACGCGCTCCATGTTGGAAGCCTCATGTTCGGGAGAATAAATTATAAGATTTAGTCGATTTACATAATTTGAAGGAAAACGAAGTTGATCTTGGTGTAGGTTGCATTGAAAGTCAGAAGGTTGTAGATTGGGATCTGCCACCAATTTTGATACATACTTAGATGATGAACAAGATTTTAGAAGAGATCTAATATCTTATGGTGATCAAGATTTCGTGTGTGAACCGATCTTTGACGAAGAAAGATAAAGATCTAGAACATCTAGGAGATTTACGTTATTGAAATCAGAGTAGTGTAGTTGAAGTGTGATCGACTCAGAATCAGCAAATTGTGGCCCTGATTTCAAAAAGTGATCAAATAAATGTTGAGAAAACCTCTAAGCCTATAAATTGAGTTTAAAAGTATCTTACATGACTTTCGATGCGAGTTTACAAATAATTGAAATTGATAAATTTGCATGGATTCCTCATTATCCCTATCAGGACACATTTCTTGATGAATTTTTTTTTACCTCGAATAGTATATGAACCGACAAAGAAAAAGAAAGTCAAAGAATGGGGTTTTGATGTTGAATTCATCTTAACACACTTCAGAACTCAAGGACGAGTTTTCTACAACAACGGGAGAATAATTGAGGGAAAAAATCTTCTTATTTTGTATTTTTATTCAATTTCAACGATGTATATTGTAGTTTTAGTTTTAGGGTTTATTTCTAGGTTTTTTGGATTTCTAGGGTTTTTTTTTATTTATTTACTATTCACACATTACTCTTTATGTGTTACAGTTCACGCGTTAGTATTCATGCATTACTGTTCACATGGGTATTTTTGAAATTTTTGTATTGTTTTAGGGGTGTTTTAGAGTATTAAATATTTACTTGAGTCTCAAGTTAAATTAGGGTTTCATAGGCTTATAAAATGTTGGATGTCATAGTTTAGAGGAGAAGTTATTAGAATAAATTTTATTTTATGAAAGAAGAAAGTTCTTATTCTCTTGGCTTGATTTACAACTATGTTCTTTCTCTCTTCTTGCTGATTTTACTTGTTTAAGGTTCAGGAGAGCAGTGGATTCAATTTCCCACCTTTGCTCCCTACTTCAAACTCCACCAAAGAAAGGAGGTTAGTACACTCATCATCTGATTTAGAGGTATTTTCCTTCTTAGATGGACCATTTGACAAATGAATAAGTATTTATAAACCCATCATGAATAGTATGCCTATCATATTTAGAGGTATTTTCCGTCTTAGATGGACCTTTTGACAAAGGAATAGGTATTTTTAAACCCATCATGAACAGTATGCCTATCATATTGCAACGGTCTACCTAACGATAAATTATATGCATTCATAGATACGACAACACCCCATATCTCATCTTTATAGTGCTCTGCAATAGAAAAAGACACGAGGCTGTTACCTCATTTCTTTTCTTGAACCAAGCTATCTTGTATGGCTTTCGGTGGCTTTCATCTTAAATTTCAACTTGTCCATTGTCTTCTAAGAAATAATATTTTTTCAACTTCCTCTATCAATGATAAGATTACACACCTTCCCATGGGCAGTGCATCGTATGTGAAAAAATATTAGTGTGCAACCATTCAGCCTTGTCTACTACTAGAGTTATGGTCATGTTGCGTCAGGTCACCAAAGCCTCCCCATGGTCATTAAATGTCACTATAGGCTCTTCTTCCTCAAGTTCTTCATCATAAGTAGGATCACCATCAAATGACAACTTGTTGTCCGCTTCAAAAACTTCTTCAGAAAAAGTGTAGCCGACTTCTTATTCGGATACTAAGAAGAGATGTGTCTGATTCATGAACACGTAAAGGACTTAACAATGTTATTATTTAAGCAATTTGGGCGACTAGAACTACCCCTAGTACCCGCAGTACCCTGCTATTTGGGTGAACCAACAGACCGTGAGATCTGTTAAGCCATCAAATTCCCACTTTTTCCTCTAAAATCGCTTCCACAACCACTTGTACCACCTTGAGCTACGCTCACCTTGATGATGGATGCCTTTGCTAAGCTTCAACATTAACTGTAAGGTTGTAAGCTTCATCTAAGGTCCAATAACATTGTAGCATCACCAATCTTGTATAGATGCTCTCAGTCCACTACATAGCGAGCTAGGGATTATTCCACTCTTTCAAACACATTACTTCAAGCCATCAATTGATAAAATTCATTTGTGTACTCTTTCACACTTTTCTCCTTGATAAAAGGTATTCATCCTATGATATAGGGATTGCAAATAGAGTTTAATTAAGTATTTCTACTTTAAAATCTTTTTCATTTTCTCCGAGGTATTAATTTTTGGACTTTCTCATTCTCCACCTTCTAGCTCTAAGTTGTTCCCACAATGTCAAGGCACATTTCTTCAATTTTATGCGAATAATTTTTATTTTTTATTTTCAAGTGCCTCCTTAAAATCAAAAACTTTACTTGGAGTATTTAGTCTGTCTATGAACTCCTCAGGTTGAGGCTTACCATCAAAGTCGAGGATATAATCCATGTCATAAACCTTAGAGTCATGCTTCCCACCTCTAGGCTTTATGTCGTTGTCCTCATCACTCAACTCCTCACGCAGAGCGTGACGATGAAAATGATTGAATTCGACATCTTCATGGGTGGAAAGATCTTTGTCTTGCCCACAATTGATATTTGCGAGCTACTGCATAAGTCGTTGAACTTGCCTTCTAAGATGATAAATCACCTCATCCTTGGGATCACATGGTAGATCTATGAGAGCTCCCCTTCTCAGCTTCGTCCCATTGCTTTGAGCTTTTCGAAATCACAAATCCTAGTATCGAATCAATAAACCTAGTTCAAATCAGTAAGTTTGTAGGCTGAATTTAACAAACCATAGCAAAACTCAACAAACATTTAGCTAAAGAAAAAACAATCCTGGTCAAAAATCAGCAAATCGTAGGCTTCACTGTAGTTTCTTAGCATTGCTGTTGAAGAAACCTAGGCTGACTCCTGATTGATGTAGAAAATTTGAACAGAAAATCAACACAATTTTACGCAAATCAAAGCAAATCTCCTGAAGAAACTCGAGGTTTCCCCTACACAAAACCCAAACTAAGACTCACCAAAGCACCAAGCTTCTCTTTCTTTCCCTGGAAATCACATGAATGACCCCTCAAGGTCCCACGGACCTTTATTATATTATTATTTAATGTTCAAGATATTAAATGTCCATATAATAAATAAAATGACCTAAAAGTCCCAACTTGAGTGACTTTTAAATTAAATGATTTTGAATATAAATAAAATGGCTAGAAAGTTCCTAAATGGTCCAGAAAATAAAAGCAATTAAAACTAGTAGAAAATAATAAATGTAAATGACACTAAAATAAATAGAAAATCATCCCTAGCAACATTTGTTCCTCTTGTTCTTCTTGGTAGCCCTCCTAGGATTCACATCCTCTAAATATACATGAGAATAACGAGGAATATACTAGAAGATACACATACTTTGTCAACTTGATGCACTTTGCACATCATAAGCAAAGAGAGCATAAAATGCTCATGAGAGTCGAAATGTAGATGAAATGTAAATCAATAGAACATCTTAAAACCTCTTAAACTAGAGTATACATGTAGGCATCATGATATTAGTTCTTCACTCATGCCCAAAACTAGAATATATATCATAGAGTTTATAGCCTTCATCCTATTGTACATATCATTTAAGAATTAAGATTAATATAACCGGTGGCTTCCTATGAAAACCCCACTATTTAACTTTCCCAAAACTATAATTTAATAGCTCTTTGAGTCCATTTTTCCTATCCCAAAACTTGTTGGCATTGGACCACAATCAGCCACTGATTTTATCATAGCCATTCTCCTGAGAAGTTTGAGATACAGCTGAACATCAGACCCATTGGCCATTCAAAAAACATAGCAATCAATATTACAATTAGAAACACATATCTACTATTATTCCACAATAGTTAAAACAACTGAAGTAACCGTAGCAGAACTAAGAACCAAGGCAGACGAATATACAAAAATTCCTTCACAATTGAGATCATTTAGTCTGATATACAAAATACATACCTGATCTCAAACCAAAAATTTCAAGAAAATTGAGGTAGTAAACAATAACAACAGAACCTGACTACAACCATGCCTATCCAGCAGTGCTTACAACCCATCAAATCAAGCAGCACACCAAGAAGAACAAGAAACTATATCCAGAAAGAAAAACCAATCACATACCACCTATTTCCTCAAAGGTGCACTGCCCTCCTGATCTAAACTCAGTAAAGCAGCAGCATAACTATCCTCTAAATCTGCAAAACATTTCACCCTCGTCTATGAAACACATCCAAAGAACTTCTGCAACTACGAGAAGGGATACCAATCTCAGCGACTCCTTTATAATTCATAGAGAAACAATCATTTCTTCTGCATTTCCCATCACCTATTCTTGCCACATGCTCGCTAACAGCAGCCCTCTGCAGTTGAAGCAGTGCAAGCATGCTCCCAGCAACCACTATAAGTCTTTGAAACATCGTTCTATTCCACAGAAACCTAAAAGATAAGCTAAATAACCACCTCCTCTTACCATGCATCCTCATATTAATACTTTTCAGAGTGTTTTGCTCAGGAGTATTTTCTGGGTTTTCAGGTAATGCGTTCTTAGGAAGTGGGCAATACGCACATTCAGAGAATGAGTCTTTTGATTTGGGATTGTGGAATTTCAACACATCAGTTGCTTGTTGCCTCTTTAGGAGGGACAGGCGGCTCTCTTCCAGCCTAAGTATGGCCGTATGCCTTTGTGATTGATGCTGTGAAAGCAGTCTCTGGACATAGAAATCAATAATCAAAGATTTAGTATCACAGAGAAAGGGGCATCTTTTTCAACTCATTGAAGAGAACTGTTCCAAAACATGTGAAAGGATTAAGTTGAAAATACCAAGAAAGAAAAGAAAAGCAAAGGAAACCATAACTGTATGCAATGCTCTCAATGCATGATAGCTGCACGGTAGTGGTAACAGCAGTCAGAAGCCAATAAGAACTATAATGACAAAAAAGAAACAACAAAATTAAAAAGGGTGTTTACACAAGGTTGCAATCTCAAACAATCAAATTAGGGTGCACCACCAAACTTTGTCATGGGATAGAATTTTGGTGTTGAAAATTCTTAGGATGGTGTGAGAATCTACTTTTTTCTCTTATTAAATTCCAGAAATGGTTCAAATCAAGTAGATCTATAAACACATGAAAATCTTGAAAATAGACGGTCCAGATAATGTGTTGCAAGATATATTATTTTTACATGAAATCTCTATTTTTCTCCATATATATACATCTCAATATTGATATGATCAACTAAATAGTTTTCCAACATCAAAACAACCTTTTTCAGAAGATTTTAGAGGTGCACCTTAATTCTACATTTTAAGGTATCAACCTTATATGAACTTTTTTTATTTAAAAATAATAGTAATAATAATGAGAAATCTTGGTCTTTCATCATGCCTTCATGCTGCTTGATAGAATAGGAAATATCAGTAGCTAAAATCGAACGAGTAAATTATTTGAAGAGCTTTGGGGCATTGTTAAAGAGGAACTCATGGCGTTCAGTCAAGTGTTTTTTGGGAGGAAGAGTATCAATAATAGCTTGAACTCCAAATACATAGCTTTAATTCCGAAGTAGTAATATAAAAAATCTTAGTATTCATAGAAAACAAGTATACGTAGCTTGAACTCCACAGTCATGGCTTCAATCTTTCATAGGATTTTAGGCTATTAGTCAATAGGGAATCATGTATAAATTTTTTCCAAATGTGCTAGCATTGCATGAGAAGGTAAGCTTCAAATATAACATATCAATGTTTTAGGGTATTTTTCGACACTTGTATTCCCGATATGAATAAGGAGAAAGCCAATCGTGACCTAGGCCCGTAGGCGCTAAAGGGCCTGCGGACCGTGGAAGCATTGTTGAAATAAACCTTGATCCGAAGTGAATTTTTGAAAGGCAATAGATGGGTCCCAAAAAGCATGTGTAGGTAGAATTTGACTCCTTAAGGACACCCGCCAAGTTTCGTGGCGATCCGACGACGTTAAGGTGGATCAAAGACAAAACCAGGTTTCAAGTTCGGCCTCTAGCATGCTGAAAATGCACCTTATAACTACAACCCTATCACCGGAACTTCAGATAAGCACCAGACCACTTCCAATGGATTCTGAAGTTCTGAAAGCCCCAGATATCAAATTTCAATTCATTTGGACGCTTCTGGACCATCATGTGGACGACTTACCCAAAAAAGGTGGGTTACACACTATTCTGGTGCACCCTCGGTAAATCAGTTTCCCTTATAATGGAAATTGTATAATATGATTTCGGGATCACCTTTGAAAGGTCATAACTTCTTCATCATAAGTTGGTCGAGCTCAAATTTCAAGAGAGAAGCCATATTAGAGAGAAGCCGCTTAAGAAAACTCATGCTTTACAGATTTTTGCAAAGAGATCCCTTCAATCAAATGGTCATATCACAAAGCCCCGACTCGGATCGACTTGAAAATGGGTCTGTTGCGATCGTGACGTTGAGGGCTTCGATCCAAAGTACCATCATACATGATAAGTGACCGAAAATGCCGTATTTTGAGGATGCAAAAAAGGGTATTTTCCGGCGACTGGAATCCATATTCCGAGCAAAATTCCCCAATTCGAAAAGTGAGAGTCCGGCCACCAAATTGAGCCATTCTTGTCACCAAATGACTGTGACGACTTCCCGTTGTTCCATGATAGAAAGATCGAACTAAAGCACCAAGAAAAGGACAAGATTAGAGATCTAAGATGGCAAAATCCCCATCTTTTGTTGGATTTCACCAAGAGCTCAATACTTCAATTTGAGGATCAAAAAATATGTCAAAACCATTGCCTTGCCAAGACCATCACTTTCGCGACATTCTTTTTGCTTGAAGGTTGCCGACAAGACCCAAAACGGGCCTTGGATGACCACCACAGCCTATGGCCCCTTTTAGGGAACCATCTTGCCATTTTCGAGATTGTGAGTAAGGGCAAAATAGTCATTTTGCCCCAAAAAAGGGATTCAATTTAATTCATAGAAAATGTATTTTTTAGCAATTTTAGTTACTTTTGAGCATCCATCCTTGTTTTTAAGGGAGTGCTATATAAGAATTTGTAACCCTAAGATCAAGAGGAGAAATTAATGAGATTTGTCCCTCAAGCTTAAGAATTCAATTGATTTTTACTTGGTTTGGCAATATTCTCCCTACCCCTTTTTCACTCAAAGAGAGGAGAGAGAAAACTTTCTCCATAAGCCACTACCCCTAGAACTTCCCACTTCCAACTTAGCTACCGGCTCGGTCCAAGGAGCCCACTAGGTAATTCCTTCCTCTTTCTCTCTCTTCTCTCACTTTCTCTCTCCCTTCTCTTTCCCTCTACATTTCCCTCTTTCTCTCTACCTTTCCCTCTTTCTCTCTCTTCCTCTTCCTTTCTCTCTCTCACTCTCCCGTTCTCTTTCTTTCTCTCTCTTCCCTTCTCTCTTTCTCTTACCCTCTTCTCTCCCCTCTCTTTCCCTCTTTCTCTCTCCTCTCTCTTCTCTTCTCTCCTTCTGTCTCTGTCTCTTTCTCCCTCCTCTTTCTTCTCTCTATTCTCTTCTCTCTTTCTTTCTCTTTCTTTCTCCTCTTTTTTCTTTCTCTTCTCTCTTTTCTTCTCTCTTTCTCTTTTTTTCTCTCTTCCCTTCTCTCTCTTTCTCTCTCTCCCTCATGGTTAACCGGACTGGCAGCTAAGCTGCTGGCTTGCCTCTCTCCCTTCCTTTTTTCTCTCCTCACTTCTTCTTTTCTCTCTCTTCTTGCCTTTCTTCTCTCTCATCTCTCTCTTTCTCTCTCTCCCTCATGGGTAACCGGGCTGACAGTTAAGCCGTCAGCCTGCCTCTCGCCCTTCTCTTTCCTTCTCCCTTTTCCTTCTCTCTCTCTTCCCCTTCATTTCTCTCATCTCCCCCCTCTTCTTCTCTCTCATCTCTCTCTTTCTCTCTCTCCAAGCCCGACCGACAGCTAAGCCACCGGTCCCTTCTCTTTTCTTCTCTTCTCCTTCTCTCTCTTTTTCTTCTTCTCTTTCTTCTCTCTTTTTTTCTTCTTCTTCTTCTTCTTCTCTTTCTCTCTCTAAAACCAATCGGCAGCTAAGCCGTCAATCCCTTCTCTTCTCTCTTCTTCTCTTGTCCTTCTCTCTCTATCTTCTTCTTTCACTCTCTCTTTAAAAACCAACCGATAGCTAAGCTGCTGGTCTCTTCTCTCCTCTACACGTTCTCCCCAGCTCTCTCTTTTTCTTCTTCTCTCTCTATCTAAAACCAACCGGTGGCTAAGCTACTTGTAACAATCCTAAACTTAAAAAAATAAGAAAATAAAAATAAAAAAGATAATAAATAAAAAACCTTTTACCTTTGATGGTCCATACAAATAATTTGGTCCTTAGGGACCATCATTTTTTTTGCACTTTACTTTCACCTTTTGTTTCGTGTGCCACGTCCTATAGGGACGTGGGCTTTAAGTGTTAACGTAACACCTCATGTATGAGGTGGGTTAATAATATATTATAATAATATTTTTTTGTGTTTAAAAAGAGGAGAACGAGTTGGATTCTCTCTCTGCAAAAACACTTTCTCTTACGCCCCTCCCTCTCAGTAACGTTGAGCCCTTTTTGTGAATTAAAGAACGTAGTGAACTCCTTCTCTCTAGTAGAATTTTACCGAAAGTTCCCTCTCAAATATTATAGTAAATGATTTCACTATCCTGAAAAAATAGTCGGTTCTCCATTTTTATACTTTAATTCTGTGAGCATATGGTATCATTTTTTTCTATTAAAATTATTATTTTTGTTTATTAGAAATTTAGACATTGTAAAATATTAAAAATAAAATTTCTGCCTATTATTATGACTTTTAGACACTGTAAAATTTATGTGTAAGTGATGTCATTTCTGGTAAAATCATTATGTGAAAAATTGATATATCTACAATTAATTATAATACTGCCAATACTGTGAGATTTATGCATTTAATTGTATTTTTGTTTGTCTATGAATTTTAAATACTAGAAGTTTTACCTATTCCTGTAAAATAATTAATTATGAAATTACATTCCATAAAATTGTGATATTTATGTGTTTAACCTACGATTTCTATAAAAGCTCATTGATAATTGACTGCCTATTGGATTCCAATTCAAATATGCCTGTTCGATCTGCTACCTTTCTGCAATTTTTATCCAAATTGTTTGATTGGTTACTTACAAATATTTCAACGAAAGTAATTATTTAAATTGCTTCAAGTGAATTCCTGTTAATGATTTCAACGATCCTTTGAATATACGATGTTGATGCTTTCTGATGTTAAAGAGTTTCTGAGAAATTTTAAGTATGCGTCGTGGTACGCCGGTGAGGTAAGTTTGGACCTGCAGGGATTGTTTGGACCTATCCGATTATGCCCGTAGGGACTATTTGGACTCACCGGGACGCCGGTGAGGTATGTTTGGACCTATCTGGTTACGCCTGTAGGGACTATTTGGACTCATCCGGGACGTCGGTGAGGTATGTTTAGACCTGCAGGGATTGTTTGGAACCATCCAGGACGCTGGTGGGGTATATAGGTGACCTACTTGGGACGCCAGTAGGGTATTTTGTGAAATCCTTTGAGTTATGCAATGCTGTTAAAATATTTATATGCATTTCAATCATTTGGATTATGTTTAATTGTGCATTTCTGAAAGTGAAATTGTTATCCATAAATGCCTTTTGGCTCGCATTGTTTCTAATAGACCTCCCTTTTTTAAAATG